GACGACGAGAACGGAGACACGGGCGACGCCAGGGCCAGCATCTGCGATGTTATGGATTGCGGGGACATCAGCAGCGGCGTGATGGCGAAGGGGGAGCCCGACCTGGCGCTGTTGCTCTCCTCGCTGTGCTCGGCTTCGTTCGAAGAGAGGAAATTGAGCGAAAGTTTGCTCTTGGGCGCCAAATACCGCGGCGGAGGAACCCTCTCGTCGTCAGCAAGGGCCCCCGTCCCGCCGGGGTCCTCGGCCGCCTCGTCGCCGTCCTTGCCCCGCGCCTCGAAGGCCAAGGGGGAGGGGGAGAGGGCCGTGGGGGACATGGGGCCGGGCGACAGGTGTCCCGGCGGAATGGGCGAGCGGGAAGACAGGGAGGAAGTGCACGAGATGTCCTCTGCTTCCTCGTGCAACACAGACAGTTTGCGGGTCATCCTTGCAGCGTGAAAGGACATACGAAATCATACAATGTGCACAAAAATGGTAACTGTGCATTATGAAGATGTGGAAGATATTAATGAAATACTGTTAAAGGGAAAATGAATTCGAAATATACAAATAAAATTCGTTACCACAAATTTATTCTTGGTAACGTCTCCATAACAGGACCCGGAGGTTATCTAAAAATAATCAGTATAACCCAAGTTTGTTATATATCTATAGCATATACTCGCATACAATGTACATATGTACTTTGTCTACATCATGAATTTGTGCGAATGAGTGTGATTGTGAGTGTGATTGTGATTGTGAGTATGTGTGAGTGTGAGTGTGAGTGTGAGTGTGAGTGTGAGTGTGAGTGTGAGTGTGAGTGTGAGTGTGAGTGTGAGTATGTGTGAGTGTGAGTGTGAGTGTGAGTGTGAGTGTGAGTGTGAGTATGAGTATGAGTATGAGTGTGAGTGCGTATGCATGTGCGTACCTTCCGTGTTAAACTAATTGCAGACACAGCTAAAAAAAACATTTTTAGTTACAGAACAATCTCAAACAAGCGCACTCGACACCTATAAACAACAAACAATCCTTTATAGCGCGTATGAACATCCCAATCCCGACATTAATCAAGGGGTCCGCGCCACTTCCCGGCTGAGAGCACGCACACGCAGATCCGGGCGGCGGCTTCGGGCATCGCCAACAGACTCCTGTTGTGCTCAACATCCGCTTCCACAGCATTTGCGGCAATGCGCACTCTCCCCGACAGTCGCCTTTGCAACGCATGCATAAATCTTCAAAAAAAAGCTTTACTATTAGTCCGGTAAACCCATCTCAGCCAGGATACATATCCTTGCAACATCCCAAAAGCGCCAACATTCGAGACTGAAGTGCATGCAACTGAAAACAAAAGAAATGACCT